TTTTTGCTTTTTAGTTGTGACTTGGTAACTGGATATAAGCTTAAATTGCTTCAATGCTTTTAGGAAAACTAAGGGGTTTTCTAAAAAGAGCCAACACCTTTAGAGATTCTCCATGTATTTTGAAGTATCTTTCTTGTGTGTGGATTTTTTTCCCTTGCTAGTTTGAGGATGTGCTTTCTGATAGTTCTGTAAACTAGGCACCTTCATGGGTGATGCACCTTCTCTTTGCAAGGCTGGGATGGCGCTTCCTTTACTGTGGGAAGAACTGCATGATGAGGGAAAGGTTTGTCCCTTCAGTTATTTGCGAGGAAGAATTAAGCCCAGTTTGATCTCATGCATAATATTCAAGTATGTGTTTCATGCTAGCTGTTTCTTCAAATGCGTTTTGCTCCAGTGTATTTTGATTTAATATTCCAAATATTTTTCTGAAATGTGTCATTCAAATCTGCCAACCATGCCTTCCAAATACAAAACTGCTCCATTTTTTGATGTTTTGTGATTTATTTTTAGTATTGTAATGGTTCTGCCTCCTTTGCTTGAAGATGCTTAAAAATATGTTGGAATTGCCCATTTTTCTGAGATTTCAATCACTGTAAATGTCACTATATGATGTGACTTGATATAGGCAACCTTAGTTTGGGTCTTACAAAGAACATTTAAGGTGAACGCAGTTAGCCTTTTTCCTTTGAAGAGCACTTATCGTCCTTACCCAAACGGGCTATGGGTTTAGATTTGCCCAGAATTTGCAGTTCTGTGGGCAAATGATACTTACACAGAATGACAGCAGAGGGAGAGCACGAAAACCAGGAACTGTTCTCTGCTGGAGGGTCTGTAAGAGACCAGGTTATCCAAAACAGGGTAAGGTAAATGATGTGTGTCCCTAGCAGTTGGAGACCTGGACGCTTGCAGAGTATCTGCTGTAACCTACATTTCCAAAATCAGAGGCAGGCATAACACCATAGGACTCTTTCTATAGGAAGCAGGGGAAGTAACGCAGGTATAAACTATTTACAGGCTGGTATAGAGAAGCAATAAATTAAGCGTTATTGTGCATTTCTTAGTAAGCTTAGTCCTCACACTAATCAAATACTATCTGAAGGCATTAGTTCTGACATAGGCAGAAGGCATTAGTTCTGACATAGGGAATGAGTTCCTTCAGTTTATATAACACAGAGGTGCAAGGAACACCTAAATATGTACACACACAGAAGAATGTCAGCCTCAACACCCGAAGTTGGGTCATTTTGCAAAGTAGCAGGCTGATATGCAAAGGAATTCAGGAAGAAAAGTCAAAGTGGTGCATCTGGGACTATAAGGTGAAACTGTCAGTATCTCAATAGAGGCATTTGTCACACAGGTGGACCTGGAAAAGTGCTAGTTGTGGCTTCTGCTGTATTTTTTGAGCAAAGCATAGAGACAACTGCGCACTTCAGTGAACTATGATAAACCATTATTGGCTTGAATTTGTTCTCTGGTGAATGAACGCCACAAAACTACCTTATAGATCTCACTTTACCATTTCAAGTGCAGTCTTTGCTGAATTACAGCATTTTCCTCATGAAATAAGGAAAGGTCGTGAGGTGACAATTGGACTGGCACACAGATATATGTATTTACTTAAGAAACATGAAGAGGTTTGTTTCTGCATGTGGAAGAAACATCAGTAACTGATTGATTTTAAATCTGTGAATTAAAATAAGTAATTTGAATGTGTTTCATATTAACAAGCAAAAACTTGATATAAATAATTGAGTTTAGTTTTGTGTTGAATTTGTACTTTTTCATCATTTTCCAAAGGAAAGGTTGATTTATTACTGGTTTGTAACATTGAAAAAGTTGTTGATATCCAGATAAGTCCATCATTTTGGATTATATTTGGTACTTTTGTGTACAAATAGGAGAGACAGACTTTTTTTTTTTTTTATGATTTATCTGATTCAATATGTTTTCTCTGATCTCAGTTTTCTAGGTCCATACATAGGAAAATCATGTATTTCTAATTAGTTGGTTAACTTTCACTTAAGATATATTTAACCTCTGGTATGGGTAGAACTTTAAAATTAAATTAAAAAGACCTCTCATAATCAGTGCTTCTTGTTAGCTCTGCCCAAGAAATTAAAGATATATATATATTTAATATATATATATATATATATTAAAAAGACTTAACAAGACATCTTTTGAATACAGCTCCCTTTGTAGTCAGGGAAAGTATTCATCATTCAGTGACTCAGAAGCTGTTTCTGATATGTATGGTCCTTTAGATATGCAAGGATGGTAGTTACTAGTACTGTTTTTTTAATCGTTGGTTGAAAGAGGAAGATAACATTTCCTTATCCACTTTAAATGATCAAATTGTTAATTTTGGTTTGTGTAGCTCATTTTAAGACACAATTTTCTCTGTAGGCATAGAAGAGATGATTGCTGTCAAAAGCTGCTTTTAGCACTTCAATACACACTTTTGAGGTTATTTTCTGATGACTAAATTTCACAGACTTTTTAATTGATACTGGTAACTTTATGCTAAGCTTAGACCTCGACATTTGTAGCTCTCATTTCAAAAGTAGTACTAGTTATGTTTTCTAATTATACTTTGTTTTTTAAATGACATTTTATGTATTTTAATTACTCTGTTTTGATAAGAATCTTTGTAAAGGGAAATTCTTTGAAGAAGACTGTGACTTACTTTGAGGGTTGTATCAGAAATAGAGAATTGCATAATTAGGTGTGTTAGTCATGTATGTTTATTCAAAACAAAACTTTAGGGCAAATTAGTAACTGTGACAGAGTAGACTAACACCAAGTAAGTGATTGTTATGGAGACCTCTAAAGGTTTTTTAGTCTGTTTTGCACTGATAAAAAAACTGTGAATATCAAGTTCTCTTGCTGAATTTGAGCTGTCTATGACTTTTCCTCAACTATTCAAAAGCACTTTCTTTAACTCTCTTTTACCAAGTGTCCGGCTAGGCTAACCTGACACCTAGTTGTCTTCAAGAGAGGTCGCTTCCCTTGTATTTTCCATTTTGCTGGTTGAAGCAGATTAACTGGCCAAAACAAACCAAAAATCCCTAACCCTACAGAAAAGCTTGTTGAGAAATCAAATGATAGCTAGTACTGGTGGAGACAGTAAAGGAGGACTGTGCTTTCTGGTGACCGTCAACTGATACAGTGCTTATCCATGTTGTAGAACAGCCCTCTCTACAAGCAGTTGTGGGTGCTCTTCTTCACTAAGTTTAAACCTGATTCATTAGTAAATCACAGTAAGTGTATTCTGTAGTGCCAGGTGTTAAATAGTTGGAGAGATATCATCTAAATATTGCACAGAAATTGATTAATTCACAATTGTTGCTAAGATGTTTGAGGGGAAATAATAACTTCTTAGGTCTGTTCATTGCAGGGAGGGGAATTGGAATATGGAATGACAGTCTGGTTAGAGGCAGTATTCTCATTTATTTCTTAGAAGAGCATGTGCAAACATTGACATGTTCTCGCCCATTTAATTCCTGGGTCTTTAAAATAAAATCCACCAAGGTGAAACAAGAAACTGGGGTAAGAGTAGAAGCTGAGGTTAATTTTAACTTGATTAGGTTGATACAACCCAGCATTCTGTCTATCATTAATGTAAGATTACTTTGCTTTCTGGTTAGGGATGAACAGAAGCCTTTATTATATATTGAAAGAAGCAACTTATTCTGTGAAGACTTGTGTGGACTCTGAGCTGTGAAATGACAGAAATGCAATACCTGTAGGCAGAAGGAACTACCTGTTGCAGCATATATGTCCATCTTGTAACAGCCCAAGGTCTGAAATAAAGGGCTTATCGCTTAATGGCTTTCATGTGTGCAAGAGAAAGTACATGCATGGGGAAATGTCTGGCACCATACACCTAGATATTTTTAATATATATGAAGGGATTGTCTTCTTGATAAAAAGGGAGATGCATGCATCTCAGTGAAAAACGTGACTAGCAAAAGCTTCCTTTGTTCACGCCCCCCTCCCCAACAATTTGCCTGAAAGTGGATCATAAACAGCGATGCATCATTACTATTATCTCCTGGTGTGACTCACTGAGCCATATATAGTAGCTCGTCTTTTGAGGAGAACTCTTACTCAGAACAAGTAGGATGTGGAAACAAATACTAAATGTCAGACTGTTATGTCACTGTTGCATTAAAATGTCTTTCATGGCAGAGAAAATTGTCTAAAAATGGCTTGAACAGCAATGCCTGTCTGTATTAAGCAGGTATTGTCAAGTTAAAAAACCTCATTAGTTTTCTCCTGATTTGGTGCTCTTATTTTCATAACATTTATCTCTTTTTGGGCAACAAGACTGTGTTTGTTGATTGTGCTAGCAAATTCTTGGATATTTCAATATTTAGATTGCTGATAATGCAAGGTAGCAGGTGACTTTTGGAGCATGCTTTAGGCTTTTTTTACATTTTTATTTTTTTAAGAGCTCTCTCCCTTTGGTTGCCTAATCATGCCCCAAATTAATTCTCTGTGATTTCTTTCTGTTCTTTTTTAGTTGTAAAGAAGCTGCTAGTGACATTCAAGCATGGCGCAAAATGTTAATCCCTTTTAAGATACTCCTGTCCTCCTTTTAGAAAGATTTGCTTTCTGGAATACTAGCACCTTCTCTCTGTATTTTGCATTAATTTAGTACCTTGAAATTTAGACTGCTTTTCCTGCCAAGAAAGTCTAGCGAAGGCTTTCTTCGGGGCTTCAGTGATTGCTACTGGTCCAGCCTCTCTGTCCTTATCCCTGGATGAACTCTAGCCTGAGGATTCAGAGCTGTGTTTTTCTGGTGCTATTGCCAGTGTCACTTTTGTTCCATGTCCACTGCTGTAGTAAAGTACTGCATTGTTTGTTTATGTTGCATGTATGTTTACTCAGCTTCCACTTTAAAATAGTGCTCAAGACTTTCAAATATGCACTGGGAAATAAGAATCCTTTCTTGTGTTTTGTGATAAGATGTATGAACAAAACTGTGTTAGTAAAAGAGATATTTCTGTGTTCTGTTACAGGTTTTGGGATTTGAAGTTGATACTGTGAACTCTGTCCAGTTTTCAAACCACACAGGTAAAATATTACATGTGTCTTCAGATACCACTCCACAGTCACTCAGCATTACTGAACACACGGCTCACCTCATCACATGACATTGGAAGGACATTGGTCTTACATTTTCACTCCCGTTTTCAGAATATAGGACAGAAATGTAACGTTCATGTTTTGATTCTAGTCACAGAAGTCTGGATTTGGGGTTAGGGCATGATATAACATAGTAATGTCCTGTTCTGCTACTTCAGAGTGTGAGTTTCTTTTGTTAGGTAGTAATCTAATTAACTCGGACTATGAAATAACACAAATACAGCCATCTACACAGGCAGGCCTGTGAACAGGGGAATCTTCAGTACTGTTTTCTGTGTGTTACGGCCATTTGACACTCAAGCATATTACCAACCCAAACATCAGAAGAATATTGAGCTAGACACACTGTTTCCTCTGTGTGCCCACCCAAATGGCTAGCAAGTATCCTAAAATTATATTCTGGAGAGAGGGAGTGGGGTGTTAATATATTTGGGGGTATTTTTACTCACATTCTAAGTCTGACCATGATGCACTCACATAATACTTTCAGACTAACACTCACTGTGCTAAAGGACTTTATTTTTGAGAAGAAAGTTGAAATTTTTGTGTAGTTTAGTAGAACCTTTCACCCATAAAGGAGCTTCAAGTGACTTGCTGTTTTTGGATCAACAGACACACATCTGCTGTCATGGCAGTGGCAGGTTGTTTGAGGGGAGATCTACTCTAGATAAAGAAATTGTAAGGGTGTCTTAAAAAAATAATCCAGGAACAAGAGCAAAAATTGTTATTGGCAAAGGAGAAAAAAAAAAATAAAAAATTTAAAAAAAAGTGTTTCCTAGTATCTCACAGATACAGCTCTATGAATAAACTGCTAATTTTCGGAACAGAGAGCAGACCAGGAAGCCTCAAAAGGTTATAAGGTGTTCCTATCATGCAAGGAGTTTGTCACCCTGGGAAGAAGAAGAGAATGTTTCAAAGGTAGTTAGAAAGCCATCTCTGCTTTCTGAGGAAAAGCATGAAAGAGGTAATAATTAAACAAGGGGTGGGGGTCTTTCCTGGCCCAGGCAAAAGAGTTGCTCATTTTGTTGCACCCTTTGGCACAGTACAAAGGTTCTCTCATGTTTTTGAGATACTTAGATGTAACTTATGTTTCTTTAATGTATTTAGTTTTGGAGTTTGGGATTTTTTGTTGCTTAGTTTTTGATAGCTGGGTAAAACTGTTGTAATCTTCCAGAAACAAAGCCATTTTTTCACATGAAATAACTTGGCACTCAGAATGGATGAGCACCTGTCACTTGTTGGCTTTCAGTTTCAAGATTAAATCAGCTTTATAGGGTGTTAAAAGAGCTTAATAGAGGTTTTATTGGACCATAAACTGAATGTGTTTGAAGGTAGGAAAATTACATAACCAGTAGGATGACCAGTTTCTTAAAACAGAAAAGAAGGAAGATTTATTTTTTTTTTTTTAATAATATCACAGCTGGACAAGGGTTACCAGTGCTTTGTTCAAGGTTTGTCAGACAATGAAGATAGTAGAAAGAACAACAAAAGCGATTCTTTCCTCCCACCCCGCCCCCAAAGGCCTAAATGAACATCCCAAACCCAAAAATGTCTCAAAGTTCACAAGTCTTTAAAATATTTGGAACTGTTATTTTGTCTCCTGGTGTTTAGGAGTTACTTTTTTTTTTTTTTTTCCTGTAATCTTGATTGTCTTAGTATGTTAAAAATCCCAAAAGATTGCTGCACATGACTTTGGGAAGTAGAGCTTTCATAAAAAAATCACAATACAGTAAGTATTTGGCACTTGCCAAGCATGAGTAAAAGAAGATTATATTTAGAAGTATTGGTCACTTGTCTGAAAGAGGAAGGAATGGAAAAGTGAGGAAGGGCATATATCCCATTTTATGGCAGGTCTAGTTTTCTAGCACTGAAGTTTTTCCATTAAACCCTTTCTACCCTTTCTTAAATTGAAGGATAGATTCTAAGCCTAGTGGCTTTGCACCTCCTCTTTGAGGCAGGCGTGTAGGGACATGTGGTGTCCTCATACAGAGACTTTTCCAAGCTTAAATATTTACACGTGCCTGCACACCAACTTGCACTAGTACCTGAAAGTCAGTGTACCGCTGCAGGGATTAATGAACACATATTGCCATGCTCAGCTGCGGTTTGTGTCTGGAGCGGTGCCGCAATACACAGGAATTGTGTGCTGGATGAATGGGCTTCCTACAATAACAAGATCTTAGGAGAACCCTTTCCATGGTCATCATTAAAGCTGAAGGGCAAATTTCTGTTTCAAAATCTAGCTGTGTATTTTAGTTTCTAAAAGCATGCCACATACCAGAGGGGCAGAGGTAGCAAAGTGTGTCAGGTTTTTGACCTGGCGTTCTTTCTTTCCCCACCTTTAAAACTGGTCTTGTCAGCAAAAGATAAAGTGTAGAGAGAATTTATAACTAACAGACTTTCTTTGGTGAATTGTTATTGTGTTTTTTTGCTCTATCTCTAAATTAGTAAGAACTGCAGGCCTATTTCTGCTGATTCCCGCTCAGAAAATTCAGCTTTCTTTAGTCTCTGATAATCCTGAAATTTGGAAAATGTGCTTTAAATCAGTCCCCCAGGGAAAAGAGTTTGTCATGTTGCTTGGTGAGGAACTTTTATGATTAGAGTGACTCACCCTTGAATGGCATCATGCTCCATGTACAAATAAAAGAAGCTGTCATGCAACCTACAAAGACTCTGTGCTTTTTATTCTATTTTACTGCAGAAGCATTTCATTGTCTCATATGCAAAAATAAAAATATAGATTTTTTTTTTTTAGCGAGTTTTTAGGGTGCATTTTTAATTCTTTTATGATTTGCATTTTTGGTTTTAAATGGTAGGTTAACGGTAAGTATACTTTGCCATGCAAATTCTACCTCTGAAACTGCTCTAGGACAAATAGCCTGTGTTTTTTTCCTGTTCCTTTTTATTTTTAAGTAAAGCACTCTTGACTTCCACTTAGTGGGTGTGTAGTGGGTAGCTGGGTTGTCTGAGAGGTCTGATACCTGAGAAATTATAATTATGTCTCATTTATATGATTCCTCACAGTCTACTGCCCATATGCAGTCATTCACACCTGTGCAGCGTGGGACAAAAAGAAAACATCTCCACTCGTGGCTAACGCTGGCAGTATTTTACTCCCACACTGACCAGCTGTAAAAAAGTCCAGTGGAGAATTTGGTACTATATTTCTGGTTTTGTTGAAGGCCTCCTGGTAGCTGAAGATTAAGTCATGTGTTTAGACCAGGTTGTTTGCCACAATTTCGTGACACAGCCGGTACCAGGTTGCCTGCCATCATGTGCCTTAAACACTAGATCTTTCTTCCTTTTTCCCATGTAAAATACTTGGTTACTGAAGCCACCTGGAATAGTTTTGCAGGGAGCACCACAGGAGGAACTCAGACCTCAGAACAGAATGTTCTGGGTTGGAAAGCAAAGAAGTCTTACATGCCTTGCTTAAATGGTAGTTTGTTTTTTGTTTTGGTTTTGTTTTCTTTTTTCTGGTATGCCTGAGATTTTTATTGTTTTCTTTTTTCCTTGTTTTTGAAAGTAATTAAGAAGCTTATAAGTACATTCCAAAGGAGAAAAAAAAATGTACCACTGGAGGAAGGCAAGAAAGAAAAAAATGTAAATTCATCTTGGGTGCAGTATTAGCTGGCTCTCTTGGTTGTGGTTTTTTTTTTTTTTTTTTTTTTTTTTTTCTTTTTCATACACATGAACCAAGACATTTCCTTGGAGATTAATGAATACTTTTATCATTTTAGAGTGGTAAGTGACAAGAGACATCATATTTTACCTGCTTTTCATTCCCTTATCTGCTAAAAGAAAATATATACAATTTATTTGCAATGAAAGGCCATAACACAGAGAAGCAGAAGGGATATAAAGATGTTTAGATGTTTATGTTCATTTGTGTGTTTAAAATTGTTACTAATATGGGAGACTAATGCAGTCATTCTGAGTGAAGTGAAGTTTGAGAGCTGTATCCTGATTTGCGGTGTGTTCTCTGCTCTCTCAGTCCAGCACTGAGTGGAATTATTTGGTGGGTTTGTAACCAAAACAAGGAGGACTCACCTTTCTTCCTCTGTGGAAGATACAAGCCAAGATCTCATCTTAATATCCAAGAGTAATAATTTGATACAGTTGCTCTGCTGAACCAGCTCTCCAAATGGGATGCAGTTGTTTGCCAAGTACAAACTTGAAACTCATTCTTTAGTTTTCTTGGCTGTGGTTCTTGTATAATATGTGCAAATGGCCAGGTACAGTGAGACTTTGAACTTCTGTATTGTTGAGTGCCACAGTGGAAATATTACTGCAGAGTAGGAGTTATAGTAAGTGGACAGTTAAACAGAAGTTTTCAAGTTTTTTCTTGCCGTTTTTCAGGTATTTGTATTTAGTTGTGTAGGCATAGGGATAACATTTCTAGAAGTTGACTTTCTTTTAGGTCTTGCAAAGCAGCGCTGGACCTTCAGATGTGCTCATTGCCAGCTGAGTTCTTATGTCTAGCCAAGGAAGACATTGATTCCTTATTATCATCCTTAACTCCATGCCATTCATGCTTTTCCCTAAAGCCAATCAGACCTCACATGTTTAAGTTTGTTTGTTGGCACTCCCTGCTTTGGGATGAGGGCTATTCAGCTGTGTTTTGACCACATGGTATCTATCTGGATTTTTTGTCTTTACCATTCAAAATCGTTCCTCTCCCTCTTCCTGGGGCCCCAAGGTGTCCATCCTTCAGTTAGTGAAACCCCTTTTGAACATGAGTAACTGTCTTTTTCTTCTGTCCCTCTACAGAAGCTGCTTTTAGGTTGTGTATTCCACCAGAAGAGTAGGATAAATGCAGGGTCACGGGATTTGCTCCTTGTTCATCATGTTACACAAAGTTACCCTGGGGAGAGAGCTTAGGGTGTTTTCCATTTTGCTGCCAGTTTTGATTTTGTTTGTTTCTTCTTGCTTGAGGATAATTCAACTCCTAGTGAAATCACAGTTCTCTGCAGATCCAGTGAAAACAATGCCCTTTTTCTTCTGCCTGAATAGCTGCAGCTTCCCCAGAAGCTTCCCTAGGGCTTTGTTTTTCCTCCAGCATTTAATCTAGTGTGATTAGACTTTAGGTTAGATTACATGTATTAACGGGTAGCAAAAAAGGATCCTCTAGATATGCTTGGAAGTCATTGCTACAGAGTTCAGAAAATGTCCCTGCCCCATGTGGGTGATTTATCAATTCCTGAGCTAAGATGGGCTGCTACCTAACATTGTGTTTCTGTACTTATTTCCCTCCCTCACTGGAGGAGGATCAGTGTGACACAGACCCTGTGCGTTGAGTCTTTAAGACAGTTTGACATAGAAAGGTGAACGCACGGTTAAACAGTGAATGTGCAGGATCCCTCTGGAGGAATTGCTTCCGAGAGTATCTAGAATGCCTGGACAATCTCTCATAGTTATTTTTATGGCAGTGTGTGAGGTGAATGACTGCTCTTTTGCCACCTGACCTTGATTCTGGGTGAAAACTGCACTCTGTTTCATTGATGGGCACAGTGGCATAAAAAGGACTCTGTTGTGTCACTGGATGGACTGGCTTTACAGTGCTAATAGAAGTAGAGATTTGGGGAAGAGGAGAGGGCAGATTATTTCTCTCTGAAGCTGCAGATGTGACAGAACAAACATCTGCTTATGTGTTAAATAATCTGACTGCTTGTACTCGAAGATTTCTCATATACTTGGGGCTAGACATATGCCCAGGTGTTAGGCATTGCCATTTTGAATATCGCTATGTTCTGCAATGGAACAGCTCTAACATACGGGAATCCCGCACTTTGTCCGTTTCTTCACAGACACTTTTTAAAAAGCATTTGCTAGGAGAGAATTCTAGTGGCTGATATGAGTCAGTCCCCCAGCCAGCTGGCAGCGAGTCGTGTTTTAGAGGCTAGGCCTTTGTGAGCTGAAGAGAACAAAATGATCCATCTGCTCACCCTACTGTGGGTGTATTTGCATTCATAAGAAGGAAAACTGAAAAATGTGCTTATCCTAGGCTCTAGGCACCTTTTGGCAGTTACTCCAATAACACAGTTTAGAGTGATAAACCAACAGTTTTTATCACAGAATTTTCTAACTCAAAGAGCAGGAGTTAAAACAAACAAAATGCCATTGTCTTGACATGGAGGTGGTGTGGAAGAAGATATCTCATTTAACATTTTGCTTTTCCTAATTCCAGTTAATAAAAAACTTTTTAACAAGCTCTGAATTCATGAGGTTGGAAGAGTTAAATTGTGTGTGCTTCATCTAATATCCTGGGGGAAGCCCCATTCTTGCATATAAGGGAGTGATGGCTGTCATCTAGATGGGCAGGCTTTGATGTCAAAGGTGCAAGGTGCATCTACATTTTTGAACAAATGTTTTGAGCCTGTCAAGATTTTTTAGATTCCCCCCCCCCCTTGAAATTGGCTGCCATGGAGCTTGGTCCACTGTTTGCTGAAATCAGTTCAACTTCTCCCAAGTAACTTCACCTTCCATCCACCTCTCAGCTAAGAATATTGGCTTGTAGTTCTTAGAGGTCATTCAAGGATAAGAGTGTATGGAATTTATTTGTCTGTTTGTAGTGTCTTTCTGATACTCATTTGCCTCCTCCAGGACCCTCAGCATTAAAGCTGTACTATTTTTGGAAGAAAATCTGTCAGATGATGTTGTATGTTTAAAAGCATCCATGACAATGTTCTGCTGTGCTCACTCTCTTTGTTACATGCAGGTCCCAGTGAATGCTGTATCTGACGGGTGCAGCAGCGCTGCATGCCTGTGTCTAGACAGATCCACAAGCCTGTTTAAGCTTGTCATCTGGCTGTCAATCCTTCTCTTTTTTTTTTTAATAGTATAAAATAACAAAAATTGATTATACTGACTCCGTTTTTCAGTGAAGTCTAAAACACATGTTGTCCCCCTCTGCACATGAAAGGGATGGTTGTATAAGCTCCATGGGAAAACTTGCAGGAGCTTGTGTGCGCTCTGCTTGATTTGCTGATACATGGACAGTCTCAGACTTCTGTGTAGTCACTCTAGTTCCTTTGGGAAACAGAGGTGCTAAGAAGTTGAGCATGTTAACTGTTCTGCTGACAGCAGCTTTAATTTGGCAACAGTGTTTTGCAGACGAGAAGGTGGAAATGCTTTCTGGTGCTAATATCTGATACAGTCCCTCCAAGTGTATTTTCTGTGTGGTCCTGAATAAAAAAATCTAGCTCCTGAAAAATTGTCTGGTATTTACTTTGCAGGTTATGCCCACTGGAAGGGTCAGGTGTTAAATTCAGATGAACTTCATGAACTGTACGAAGGACTTAAGCTGAACAAGGTCAACCGGTATGATTATGTACTCACAGGTAAGACCCTTGTTCCTTGGAGTTCCCATGAGATGTAAAGAAATAAAAACCATGTCCTTCCTTATTCCAAACCAAACATTTTCTATCCTTTGATTTCTCCTGCAATAACATCTATATATTATGGTCTCAACTGCTCATGCTGTTTAGTTTGAAACAGCCAGTGTTCTCCAGCCTGAAGGTTTTAATTGGATGAGTAAATTGATCCTCTTGTATAGTTTACAGACTTGTACAGGCCAGTCATGTACAGGCTTAATTAATGCCTCTACTGAAAAATCATAAGGCATGTCTGAGTATTATTTTTAAATTTATTATGAAGACATGAGTTTAACCCTTTCTCCTAAATTTGCAGTACTGACACTGCAGTACTATAGCATGATTTGATATACAGTTATCAGTCGTTGTTTCTCCTAATTGGTCTTTAAGGGATAGTGCTTGGGATACCGAGCAAAGTATAAGCAGGTTGGATTTTGGTTTTGACTCTCATCTCTCTTGATTTTTTGCTCTCTTTATTACTCTCTGAGTGATTACAGTTCTGCAGGACATAATGACTGTGCAGTATTTTCCTTTGCTTGCCACTAGGTGCAAAGTGTTTATAAATATGAGCAAAGAGAACTTGTAGAATGCGTTATAGTGCTTTATAGAAAGGATAGATGCTATGTACAATTTTTATTAAAAACGACTTCTCATCCAATTCCTGCTTCTCAAATGTAGATCACCAATCGGGTTTCACCTTAGTAAGAGCTATGCATCTGGTTTAGATTACCTTATCAATTTTTTATAGCAGTGACCAGTCACTTTTTAAAGGTAAACAGAAATATATCGTCAGATTTGACTGATTTCATGGCTTCCACACGTAGGAAAGTGCTTTATACACAGGGAAGACTTGACTGCTTTGGGGTTACAATCCATAGCCTCCATTCTGACTTGAAGGGTGCTGCATGTGTGAAGCGTTACTGTCAGTTCTTTTTCAGGGAGTATCTCCAAAGTAAAGGAGACTAAATAGAAAATAGACTGAACTAAGGTTAAGAAATTAATTTCAGCATAAATGGGTTCTTTGTGATTGAGAAATAGACAAACACCCTTTCTTTCCTTGAAAGAACTGAGAGAGGACATTTCCGGGAAAAACACACTGTATTGTAGGAGTTTTCAGGAGATGTTAGTATGCAAAGTTGTAAATAATATTGGAGTAGTCTTTTAGCTGAAATGTTCCTTTTTTATTTTACTTTTGACTCTTGGAAGAGACCCCAACTCCTTGCCTTCACTGTCTTGTACTGGCAAAATGGATGTAAGACATTAAAAATGATAGAAGGAAAAATAGAAATTTTCAGCAAAAAGAAATTTTGGAGAAAAAAAAGCAATATTTATTAATATGAATTTTAAAATAGAATTTGTGGGTAGATGGGGCAGTGTGGTCATGTTTGTTTAAAAATATCTTTCAGTGTAGCCATTTTCAGTATGGACAAAAAGAAGGCATGGGTAGAAATGTCAGTAGTTTCTTAAGATCTAATAATACTCTCAGTGTTCAGTTGTGTTATGGCTGACCCTAAAATTCAGTTTTTTCATTCAAGGCCAAAAAATGGATTTTTATATTCAAACAGAAACAGCGATTCACTATAGTGCGCAGCTTTACTTTGTACCTCCATCAACCTGGATAGATTCAAACACTGAAAACAAATTAATTTGTCAGAAGATGGGATTTGACTGTAATTGTATGTTTGATAACTGTAGATATCTTGGGTGAGGTGGAAGTGATTATCTTTAGGCCAGTTATACAAAATAACCTTTAACTTTTGTGACTGTTAGTTACTTGTAGATCTCCATGTACTTTTTTCATTTATAGTAAAACACTCAAGGTAAAAGATAAACTCCAGTTCAGTGTAATTTTTTTTAATTATCTCTGTCAATAATGTTAATCATACTCTGTATTTTTTTGCAGCCAGTCTACCATCACAGGTCATTTTAAAGAAAAATCTTTGACTTTTTTGACTGATTAGCAGCATTTCATAGACATAAAACAAAGCATTTTTTGGCCAAAAATCTTGGAAGCTTTTTCCATTTTTCTGCAACATTTAAGAATTGATCAATTTTGTGAGTTTAAAAAAAAAAAATCTCCAAAATGTATTTTTAAACATTTTAGTAGAGTGATCATTTCCAAGCTGAAAGTTTGAAGAAGCTACCTTGCTAAAAATAATACTATTTAATCAACTTAAATAAATGAAAATCAAATTATTAATTAATAAATGTTGTAAATAAAGTTAATACATAAAATAAATATATAAAGGAACATATTCTTTTATTAAATAAAGAAAATAACAATTGAATAAGAATATCAAGCTTAATTTTCCATTGCAGTAATGTGTTGTACTGTATCAGCACCAACATTAATAATAATAATAATTTAAAAACCTGCTTCAAACCAGAGTACAAGAAAAGTATATGGAATTTAAAATTTCTTATTTACTACATGAATAATAGTACTGATTCAGACTATTCTTTTGAAGAAAATGAATGTTTTTTCCTTTCAGCCTGATTTTTTTTTTATATCTGTGTTCAGGCATTTTGAAGTTGTATGAGCCCTTCATGTATAACATACTTAGTAAACGGATTTTTAAGGTTATATTTGTTGTTGTGCAAGCACTGTCTGAATACATCTTCCGCCTATTATTCCTGGATGAAATACTAAAACGCCTTTTCTAAAAATGCATTGTTCCAAAGAATGAGAAGTATGTAGCATTCCTATCAAAAAAAAAAAAAAAAAAAAAAAAAAAAAAAAAAAAA